GTCGAAATCACATGAAGTCTGTAATATTGGATATTCTTTGATAATAACCACATCAAATGTCTCTAGTCTTGTTCTAGTTTTTTCTTCTCATTGTTCCTGACTCATTATTGTTCTGTGAATATCGAAGAATGTTTTTCGCTTAACCAATTATTATTGAACTGCAAATATTTTTGGGATTATTCTATTTGTAAATTCTATCATACTTTCCTGGGATTTTGAGTAGCTGTTATTAAGGGTGTGTTGAGTCATTTGATGTCATTACAAATATGATCGTGAATAAACACTTAGAATCTTGTAAATTACTGAAAATTGTTATTTTATCAAACACTAACCATCCACTCCATTCATATCTCCCCTCCCCTTGTACATCTTTCAAGAGAACTAGACTCAAATACATTATAATCTACTTATCGAAGCTAAGGCACAAAATCTTCATATCTCACTATTTTATATATTTATACTACATCACTCAGAATAAATTATTCTCCTCTAGAAATAATGACAACTAAGAATTAAATAATACTAACCATAATAACATACAACAGTTTATAATTTGTAAATCTATGACCTTAAAATAATTTCTAGCCGAAAGAGAATCTCATAAATACAGGCTTCTGTTCGGAATTGAACTGGTTAAGGACACCATTAAAACAGCAGAAGAAAAGGTAGTTAATCATATGATCTTCCGATTTATGTAACGACAAAATCAACACCCTAATTTGTTTTGTTTTTTTATTCATTTATGAATATGAATGTACACAACCTCATTTTATAAGCATATATGATTTATATTTTAAATACCTATTAACAATCGAGTCCAGAACCTGGTACTTGCGATGTTTGATATGTCATTTGGATGCATTTCTATTCCAGTAACTTTTAAATTAATATTTAAACCTCGAGCCAATCCTTTAAATACTGATGGGTTGCCAGTTCGACTACTGACTAACAATAGCTACCAGCTTATACAACGAATTCGTAGTTTATATTTATTTTTGAGGATTTCTGTTTTCTCACTGTTGATATTTAAGACTACACTTGGTAAACGTCTGTCCAAACAAGGACTTTGTGAGCACCGATATAGTTTGGAACCCAAGTGACCCATATTTTGACGGATATTTACCCTAATCATTACTAAATATCTGTGAGACAAGAATAAGAACCTTTTTGCATGATCATAAATATTAACTTGATACTAAATAGATGACTTCAAGCATCTAGGAATCCCAACAGTTTATTAGGATGTCAAAATACCTTATCATTCTATGTAAGCATAATTAATCGCTTACTGAAAAGTCAAATCCTATGTTACACGCTGTGATTCCAATTTAACATGTATTTCAGAGGTTTGCACTTCATTCATTCAGCTGACTCTAATCATCACAAATTATTATCACGCAAAACCAATCTGAAATGATGGAGCAATCGATAAAAGCTTAGTTCAAGTTAGATAATTCTCGCTATCTTACACCAGCGATCCTACATAAGATTGAATACATGATCTTCTGACCCCGTACCAACAATCCTACTTCCAAAATTTTTATTTAGAATTTTAAAAATATGTACATCTAACCTTGGTCAATTAAAGAAATAGCACAAACCAAATATAATCAATAATAACAGTTTAACTTTTGGACCGGGTTCACTAAATAGCCGTCAGTTTCCCATGGAAAATTCAAAAAATTTCATTTCAAATCTATTTGTCAGTCATTTAATGATTATTATCGAGCTTGACATTTTGTGATAAACTTCTTGTCTCATAATAGAAATTATCTTTTAATTAAATATCTACGTTAGTTGATTATATCAAGAGATACTACTGAAAATCTTATGGTTATTGATCATATATTCAAATCAAACGATTCAAAGTATTATATAATAACAATGATCAAAAGATGCAATTATTCTGTTCTAGTAAAATATACACGACACTGAAAAAGCAGCAGTATTAAATTTCTTCAAAACGTTTCGACTTGAAATCTCCTAAATATTAATAAGCGAATTTTAATGTTTCACGCCTGGAAAACTTCACACTCAGAATTATCTCCCTAATACAATATGAGTGACATACCATCCATTTCTAACAACAAAGAATGAAGAACTTAGAATATGTAGTAGCAAATGCATTCCTTTATTAAGAATCAAATAACGTTGAGTAAGTTACCAAAAAAAGCTAGGATCAATTCAAGGAACTGGAAACGAAATCTTATGAAAACTCACCCAGAATAGCAAACAGTAAATCACAGCATCAAATAGTAAACATTAAAAATATGGAAATCTAAAACACGTATTGGTACTGAAAAAATATCTGTGCCCAAAATGTACATCGCTATCACAAACATCTTTACTAGTCTTAGTGTCCAAATAAATAACTACCTGTAATCCAGAAGGTGAAAAATTGCTTAATACATCAAACTTTATGATCATTGTTTTTTATAGTTGCATTTAAATAATCTAGCATATACCTTTAAAACACTGAAAACGTATAATTTATGGTACTGAGTGAACAACAAAAGTCAGGTATCATGTGTCGTATTTTGTCTTGAATACTTTTGTTAAAAGCATTACTCCACATAGTAACGTATATAAATATCAAGGTATCGTTTTTTATTTTGCCTGAATAGCCTAGATAAAAAAAACAATAAAGGGAACATATTTTTTTCTTGCGCGTCTTTAAAAATAAAAGGACTAAAATTACATATATACTGTTTATTCAGAACGAAACGTATCAACGTTCGTCAGACATAGGCGACCTACGATCTGATATAGATTTGATAAAGTTTGAGTTTACACACTTAACTCCAGCATGGCATGAAGAAATTAACCAGATTACTTGCCGATGAGTTTAAATAGCAATTCCGGTAATAGTTTGGAAATCTAGGAATATTTTAAGCGAAGAAACGTACCCTTCAAACGGAAATTATGGGATAATATTAGGCTCAACATATGAATAAAAACCAAGAATGAATAAGCTTACGTCATTAAAAAGTAATTCTAAAATCTGCCAAATAACTTCTCTGAATCTAGTTTACAATTATCCTGTGGATTTCAGACAGTCTTTTCGTCACTTGGTACTACTGAGATCAGTGACAAATGAATGTCTGGATTAGCTCCATAGTTTGAGTCCGGTATATTTGTTGACATAACCAAGAATTTAATAATGATTTAACGTTAAAATTGGCAATTTTGTGATGAACATTTGTTGCCAGGTACTCTTGTAGCAATATGGATCAAATCAAATCAGTGCAATATTTTTGAAGTCCTTCATGCAGCACACTTGGTTAAGCTTGAAACTTTAAACTTTAGTCAAAGTGGCAAATACCTCTTGGATTTTAAAACAAACTGACCTGAAATCTAAACTGTGTCGTTCGAGAAATATTGTAAAGTAATTGTGATACAAACACCATTACCGGTAAATAAACAGAAACTTATGGCTGATAAAAGTACAATGCAGTGCTAAACTTTGTTATTCGTTTGAAGATTTATTATAAGTCTTCAGGATACAATTGCTATAACTTATTTCAGATGCTTTTTTGTGTTTAAGGGAATGTTAAGGATTTAGACACAACATTATTTGAAATACATTTTAAATTAAAAGCTTTGCGTTTTGCACACTTTACTTTGTTTCAAGGTAAAATGCTCAAAATTTTTTTGGTTTTGCAGTCCTTAATACACACGTTTCTACTTAAATAACGAATTCTATTCGAATTGGATACTTTTGTTCTATAATATGTGTCTAGTCAAATATGTTGCTTAAGTTAAACAATCATAAAAGTTGATATCTTTAATATATTTTATAGATACAGGCTTAAGTCAATATTATTAAACATTAATTACTGTGATAATATAAGAAATCTTTATGAAAAACAATAGCTGCATTAATATCCAGTGGTATGTAGATTTAGATGCATTTTTATCCGTTTATTGTTTTAATAAAATGTTTCATATTAAGCGTTTACTTTTATAAAGACTGTTTGTCTATCATTATTTTAAACAATTAAAAAGCCTTTTCAACTTTAGTTAAATAGTGATTCAACCATAAATATAAAATATGTTGAATCACAAATCCCAGACCCATGATAATGGATAATGCAGTGTTATTTGTCCTTCATTTACATATTACAAATGTAAACATATTTAATTTAGTGTTCTATTAGTATTATAAAGAAATATTGGGAAAAATATTTTTTGACATATTTTTCAATAGAATATTTCGAAAGCCTTTGTACTACAGAATTGAAATGGTAGTCCTGTTTAACAGATTGACGAATTTCTAGGAATTGGATGATAAACTACTTTTAATTAAAGTTTAATTGTCATAGAGTCAAAAGAATACACTAAATGGTTTTGAACTGTTGTTATTGATAATCACTCTAAATCATTGAGTCAAGCCAGCACAAACCTTAAACACAAAATGTACATAATATTGTGATTACATTTTCTTGAGTAATAAAAAACTCAGATAATCGATTACAGTAAACTAGTTGACACGATTCTTGTTCAACAAGCAACACATAAATAATTTAAGTTCTTTTAATTTCAGGTTAGTAGTATCACTCTTATATCTATCCCTAAACACTCGAATAAAATAACTTTGATAATAATGAGTACCAATATTCCAAAAGTTTTGTTTCCCGTTTTAACTCTTTCACTCCAACGTTCCTACCTAACGACACTAGTGGTTTCCTACTTTTGGTTACGGAGGTCGGTTTGGAAAAGCTTTTCACAATTGAAAAATTGAAACCGTGGACAATTAAAGGAGAAAAAAGTTTACCTTTTCTATTTGGTAGTTAATAACTGAAATCAATAGAGATTTGCCCATAAGACGTTTTTAAAACACCTAATATTTAAGTAAATAAAGAATACAAGAATTTATATAGATTATTCGAATCAGTATCCGCGTCCGTAAAACTTGACATATTTAGATTTAATTACTAATAATAAATCTAATCTCATCAAAATGTGTGTTATAATATCATTTTACAACAAAACAAACTTACATAGGAATCAGCGCTTATACCAGACGAATTATCAAATCCAGTTATTGTTATTGGAGTGCTGAGTTCGTCGCGATTGCCCTGTGAATCGGCCATGGAATGAGGATATGTAAGAAATTCAACATTTGGTGCTGCACAATCGGCCTGAGGTAGTGCTCCATATTCCGAAGGATAGTCCTTGAACGTTATACTATAATGCGGTTGTAACGGACTATAATAATTTGGCTGTTGATTCCCTCCAAACGAACCTATATTCTCAATATCAATGCATAGCACTCCACCGGATTTATTCACTTCATAGGGTTTATTACCAATAGTGCACTTAGAAGAAGGTAATAAACTTGTCACCTCCTCCCATCGACCTTTCTTTGGAGAAGCGTCTAGTTCTATCATTCACAGTTCGAGTAAAAAATTCCTGAGTGAATTCAAGTCATTAAAAGACATTTTTATGCATAATCCAAAGTAAGGCACTTTGATGGATTCGTAAATAAGTTGAATCAACGTGTCTTACATAATGAAAAACTGTTCGTAATATTGACGAATGTCAATTGCAGAATCTGTTATTTAAGACAGAGAATTATGACTTTTGCAAGGTGAAAAAGAGAATTGATGTTACTATGTGTATTAGAAGGTTTAAATAAAAAATAATATTTCAGTTCACAACAGATATTGAAATCTAATTGCAGCTTTTAAAAGCTTGTCACATTTCAAGGCCAAATGAATGAATATCGACAAGACAAACAAAACAAAACACCTAAGAAGTTTTGAAAATAAACTATACTTTAAGTATAATGAACGAAAAGAATACCATTCTAGATCTGTGTTTACGAAGTAGAACCTAGTCTTCTAGTTCGTAGCTGTCTAGAGTTCTTGAACAAAAACGTAAAGGATGAAATGCAGACTAGTGAGTCCTTTTTAGGGTACGTTTATATGTTTCTATTTTTCTTGTCATTAGGTAAGGTATACGTCTCGAAGTTACATCATGAATAAATCTATATATATTTATTTAACATGGATTTTTCAGTGACGGTAAACTCTAGACCTTTAGCACTTTAAACACGGAAAAATCTACAGGAGTGTATGAACTATAATCCCAAATCTTGAGACAAGCTCCATCATATGTTACCTCCACACTGGCCACAAAATTTAATGTGTCGCTTGGTTAAGTTGAGTTACCTACGGACTCGAAGTATGCAATTTGCACATCAAAACATGAAACAGGACCGTGACTACTGTTATCAAACAACAGACCTGTCAGCCTCGCCAGTGTGTAGATAAAACTTGGAAATAACAACCAAAAGACCACAATGACACTCTAGGAAACCAACAACTTATTAAACAGAAAACAACACATCATCAGGAAAGGATGGCCTCGCACAACATACTCTCTTATAGCAAGAAAGCAATGTATGTAGTCTTTAGATAATGCAAAACCAGAAGATGTCGTCTACAGATTTCAGCAAAACATTTGATGAGGTTGTAGTGACTTAATTTTGTCAACAGAACGCGATTGGTTCGATGAAAACAATTATTGTTATAACCAATTGTACCAGTGACTGTTTTACTGTGCTCGTTTGTTTAACTATGCTAACGACAGCCATTACACTTACTCTCCCGTTGACTTTGAACTTGTACGAATCCGGTTACGTTTAGTAACCACGCTTGTACTCCTTTGGCACGATCTCGGTATTCTTTCGATACCACAAGATCGCCAACAAATACATCTCGACTACAGCCATCATCTGCCTTCTGAATCGGCCTACGGGGATCTTTTGGGTTAATTGGCACGTAGTCTTCTTGTAGTGGTGTTCATAGTCAATCGCGACTCGACTATACGCTACAAGGTACCGGTAGATGGAGTACTCTTAAAGCTGGAAAATCAAAGAATTACCAGAACTTGACAAATCGTGAACAGAAAATGAGAATAAATTCCAAATGCTCCTCCTGGAAACCAGTACTTAGTGGAGTGCCACATGGTTCTGTCCCAAGTTATTTACTTTTTGTACTGTATGTAAACGAACTACCAAATATAGTTGAGTCCCCGATGTTGCCATACGCTGATGATGTAATAATCTATCAGGAAATAACAAGAGAAGCAGATTCGTGTACACTTTAGATGGAATTTGATGCTCCGATTAGCTGATCTAAAAAATGATTGATGACTAGCAACGCAGCCAAGTGTACTTACTTACTTACGCCTGTTACTCCTCTCAAATTAGCATAGGCCGCTCACCAGCATTCTCCATCCAACCCTGTCCTGGGCAATCCTTTCAAGCTCTTTCCAGTTCTTATTCATCCCTTTCATATCCGCTTTTATTTCCCGACGTAATGTGTTCTTTGGCCTTCCTCTTTTCCGCTTCCCTTCAGGATTCCAAGTTAGCGCTTGCCTCGTAATGCAGGTTGATGATTTCCACAATGTATGTCCTATGCATTTCCATCATCTTTTCCTAATTTCCTCTTCAGATGGAAGCTGGTTTGTTATCTCCCACAGTAGACCGTTGCTGTTGGTATCTGGCCAATGGATGTTGAGTATCTTGCGTAGACAACTATTGATAAATACTTGTACCTTCTTGATGGTTGTAGTAGTTCTCGAAGTTTCAGCTCCGTACAGTAGAACTGCCTTGACGTTCGCATTGAAGATTCTGACTTTGATATTGATTCAAAGTTGTTTTGAGTTCCAGATGTTCTTCAATTGAAGGAATGCGGCCGTTGCTTTGCCAATCCTCGCCTTGACGTCTGCATCTGAACCTCCTTGTTTATCGATGATGCTTCCCAGGTATGTGAAGGATTCCACATCTTCCAGAGTTTCACCATCAAGAGTGATTGGATTGCTGTTCTCCGTGTTGTGTTTGAGGACCTTGGTTTTCCCTTTGTGTATGTTGAGGCCTACTGATGCGGAGACTGCTGCTATGCTGGCTGTCTTTATCTGTATTTGTTCGTGTGTATGGGATAGGAGGGCTAGGTCATCTGCGAAGTCCAAGTCGTCTAATTGGTTCTGAGCTGTCCATCGTATGCCGTAGTTTCCCTCAGATGTCGAGGTCTTCATAATCCAGTCGACCACCAGAAGAAACAGGAAGGGAGAGAGTAGACAGCCTTGTCTTACTCCGGTCCTTACTTGGAATGCGTCTGTCAGCTGTCCTCCATGCACTACTTTGCACTGTAGTCCGTCGTATGAGTTCCGCATAATATTGACAATCTTTTCAGGAACTCCGTAGTATCGAAGAAGTTTCCATAACGTTCTCCTATCTACACTGTCAAATGCCTTCTCATAATCAATGAAGTTGATGTAGAGTGACGAGTTCCACTCAATTGATTGTTCGACGATGATCCGTAGTGTCGCAATCTGGTCTGTGCATGACTGGTCCTTACGGAATCCAGCTTGTTGATCTCGAAGTTGAGCGGTTACTGAGTCTTTCATTTTGTTCAGTAACACTCTGTTCAAGACTTTACCTGGTATTGACAGTAGTGTAATGCCTCTGTAGTTTTCACACTTGCTCAGATCTCCTTTCTTTGGAATCTTGATGAGGTGTCCTTCTTTCCAATCCATCGGCACTTGTTCCTCCTCCCAAATCTTCTTGAATAGAAGATGAAGCATGCTTGTAGTTACTTCGATGTCTGACTTCAACGCTTCAGCTGGTATATTGTCAGGTCCTGCTGCTTTTGCTCTTGATTTTTCTGACGGCCATTCTGATTTCTTCTGTCGTTGGTGGATTGACATCTGTAGGAAGATCTGTGTGTGCTGCTTCGATGTCCGGTGGATTCATTGGAGCCGGCCTATTCAGGAGTTCCTCGAAGTACTCTGCCCATCTGTTCCGCTGTTGTTGAATCTCAGTGATTGGTCTTCCTTCTTTGTCTTTGACTGGTCTCTCTGGTTTATTATATTTCCCTGCAAGCTTCTTCGTCGTATCGTAAAGGTGTCTCATATTTCCTTCTCTTGCAGCTTTTTCCGCCGTCGTTGCTAGTTCTTCCACGTATTTTTGCTTGTCAGCTCTAATGCTCTTCTTCACTTGTTTATTTGCTTCTATGTACTCTGCTTGTGCTTGGACTTTCTCTGCTCTTGTTCGACTGTTGTTAATTGCTGTCTTCTTGTTCTTTCTTTCTTTGATCCTGTCCAGTGTTTCTGTAGAGATCCATTCCTTGTGATGATGCTTCTTGGGGCCCAGAACCTCTTGACACGTTGAAGTTAATGTTTCTTTGATACCTTTCCAGCTATCCTCAATAGTAGTTTCTTCTTCCTTCAGTAGATCCTGTAAGGCTTGGAACCTGTTGTTGAGAGCTACCTTGAATTCATTGAGTTTGTCAGTATCTCGAAGGAAGGCTGTATTGAACCTTTGTGGTGCTATTTGTCCAGTTGTCCAGTTCTTCTTTAGCTTCAGTTTCAATTTGGCCACAACCAGGTGGTGATCTGAAGCTATGTCCGCTCCTCTCCTGGTTTTCACATCTTCCATTGTCCTCCGAAACTTTTTATTGATGCAAATATGATCTATCTGGTTCTCTGTGGTGTGGTTCGGTGAGATCCATGTAGCTTTGTGTATACGTTTGTGTGGAAATATTGTACCGCCTATGACCAATTTATTGAATGCACACAGATTTGCGAATCTTTCCTCGTTTTCGTTTCTCTCTCCCAGTCCATGTAGTCCCATGATGTCTTCATATCCGGTGTTGTCCATTGCGACTTTGGCGTTTAGATCTCCCATCAGAATGGTGAGGTCCTTTCTTGGGCACTTCTCTATGATTGATTGCAGCCTCTCATTGAATTGATCTTTAACGTCGTCGTTGCTATCATTGGTGGGTGCATAACATTGGATAATGTTCATTGTGATCCCCTCCTTCTTTGATTTGAATGATGCTTTGATGATTCTGGATCCGTGAGATTCCCATCCTACAAGTGCGTTTCGTGCTACTTTGGATAGCATTAGAGCAACTCCCTGAGTGTGTGGAGCATTTTCCTCTTTGTGACCGGAGTATAGCACCATCTCTCCCGTATTTAACCTTTGTTGTCCAGCTTGGGTCAAATGGGTTTCACTGATTCCCAGTACTGCCAAGTTGTATCTTCTCATTTCCGTTGCTATTTGACTGGTCTTCCCGGTCTCCCACATTGTCCGGACGTTCCATGTACCTATAAAAATTGTTGCTCTGGTTGTTGGAAGGGGCATCGGCCTCGTGGCTTCCGAAGGAACTCGGCTTTCACCATGAAGCGTCATATTACCTCTAACTCCCAAGGCAGAGTTTAAATGGTTTGAGTTATTTTTTCTGGTTAGCGTTTTTTTAGCGAGTTAGGTGTCTACGGGATGAGGACGCTAACCCCATGCCCAACCCTCCTCCTTTACCCGGGCTTGGGACCGGCAGTAACTCTGGAAGAGCTACAGGCGGAGTGTGTCTACATGCATATTGGGGATACAAAGGTAAGTAGATACATCAGAGAGGAAGGGACCATGCTCGTACTCCGGTCGCACACAGATCTTGAGGCGACAGAGAGTCATGATCCTAGGACGGCGGCCCACTGCCTTAATGTATCACCTAGGCGGTGTAGAACATTATGGGTTTTAGACGGACATTTACTAAGTGAGACACCAATACGTTGGCTAGGATATACACAACCTTAGTGATATCCGAACTTCAAAACGGATGGCTGAAAGCCTTTCTCTAAAAGGTGATTTGGATATCTTGGAAAATGTACCCGTGGAATTCCAGAACAACGGGG